GGCTGCTCTAAAGTTGGTATTTCATAGGGGTCCGTGGCCAGTGCAGCACCCAGTTCCGTTGGACAAAGTCATAAATTAATTCACAGCCCCCTAATTGTTGCAACTGTACCCAAACTTAGCTCTGTGTCTAGGATTGGACACCACCTTTGAACCTACCGGAATTCCTCCAACGCCATGTCCGGCAAAACCCAAAGTATGAAGCTGAAATCTTGGTGCGGTGCAGTTTAGCGTACGCCACGAAAGCAACAGTAGGCAATCCCGCAAAGTTTTCGCACATTTCCCATCTCTGCTCCCAAAATTCCTTTGGTTTTGACACATGGGTTTGTCTCGGAGTAGCCGAGACCCCAAAATTGGTGGTTCCCTTTTAATTTCCCCAACCACCCAGAGGGCAGCCTGAAAAAACCCACGAGCCACCCACAAGTTTCCCCATCTGCTCCACCCCTTTCGACCCCCGCGCCTTGGGCTGCCGCATCGTGGGCGGGGGTGGCCCCATTCAGCGCGCGGGCGCGCAACGTGTCGGGGGCCAGCCCCTGCAGAAGGTCCAGCACCCCCGCCTCGCGGCTCGCGGGCGCCGAGGTTTCGGTTTTCGGGGTTCGCCCAAGTAGCTCCATGGGAGAAACCATCAGCTCCAGGTAACCCAGGTAGACCTGCTCTAGTGGTAGGGTGAAAGTAGATGGCACAACTTCCCATTATTTGGGCAAGCAAAGGGGATGACTGAACCAAACCAAACTGGGGATCTACTTCCTGGTTTCTCCTGATCAGTCTCCCCCGCGCTCGAATGCATTCATAAACGTGCGCTAGATAGCTCTCGTGACCTTCTCTTGCACAGTCCTGCGTGCCCCTGCGAGTAAGCCTTCGGTGCAGAATTACATATGTGTTTGCTTGTTTCCTGCCTGCGGGGCTCTTCTGTTGGGCGTCATGGATCTCCAAGTTTACAATTCAGACCACGAGGTCTGTATAGCAAATGAGGCAGCAACAGCCAGCCTCATAGAACTTAGGTTGGGAGGGTGTGAATTTCAAATGCGTCAGTCTTGCAGCACGTGGATATGCCACCTAAGAAACCCAAAAAAATGATGCCTCCCCTGTAAATACCAACCAACAATGGTTTCGGGAGGTTGCCAACATAGTGATTGTCCTGCTAGGAACCTGGCCTTATGTTGGCACACCTCCAAAAGGGCTCCAACATCGCATGTTGAGCCACCCCCAAGCCTATATTGGGCATCTGAATGGAAACGAATCACAGCAAATGGTTTAGGTAACCTTCCCGCCCCTCAGAATGTCCAAACATGAAAACAAACATTGTAAATTACAAAAGCTACTGCTTCCGTCTTTCATAGTTCCAAGGATTGCCACAACAGACCTGAAACAAATGAGCTAGCCAGAAAGAACAAATGACGACTACTACAGTGTGTTTACGGAAGAAAAAAGCTTGACATATGCTTGAATCTTACCTCCTTTACATGCACACGACTTCTTTCGCACCGCTTTTCTCAAGGTAGAAATTTCGAAGCCTCGCAAAAACCGCCACACGTTGGCGACGGCCGCTTTCGACGAACACCCCTCCGCTTTTTCGGGCTCCGCATGTAGCAAAAGGTCGACCTCACGGAAGGTCCCGCGAAAGAGGCGAGGTGAACCCCCCCAAACGACTACCCCCAGCGCAAATTGGGATAGCCTTGCTAAGGTGGTTGCATGGCTGTAGTATCCCAGTAAACCCCGGCAGTAGCTTCGGTTTGGGGTGGAAACCTGAGACAAAAGGAGACGAACTTCCGACAGATCTCTAACTTTTACACACACATCATGGGGGCCAGCCCAACTAAGCCCAAATAAGCCTTTCAAGTGGAAGTTCAGGTACTCCTGCGCTGCATATTTAGGGATTCAGTCGCCTTGGTCTTCTTGCTGCGATGCTTGGCTTGGAGGGTGGGCCTTAAGCCCAACTAAGAAGGCGGCATATTTCGGCTCCCCCCTCCCTCCCTCCCCCCCCAGCCCCCGTGAACAAATGGATTCGGACATGTTCAAACGGCTGTGGGTCAAAAAATAGGTACCAAGAGAACCCTCGTACGTGGAAACATGGACCAAAACCTGCGGTCCGATTCCTGGTGGTTCAACTTTGACCCATACCCAAATCGCTATGAGACTCGGCGCCTGCCCGCTCAGCGCCGCCCAGTGGGCAGGGCACCGGCCATCCGCAGCGGGACGCCGCAGGCTGTTGGGGTCCTTTGGTGGGATTGCCCCGAAAGGTGCATGCGTGTGTCTTTTTTGAGGGCTTTCCTTCTGGTTTCCCTTCAAACCACACCCAAAAAGAATACCATCAAAAAAAGCCACACCCACATGTGCCATGGTCAAGACTCCGTTTCGGCCGATCGGGTCATTGTTCCCTGAACAGGAATCAGGGAGAAATGATTAAGGATCCCCACTAAAAGGATGACCATCCCTGGCAAAACCCCAAGTAAAGGAACCTCTATGGCCTCGCCTGGACTACAACGAGTAGAGGAATCCTCAAAACACTAGAAGCCATGGGTTTGCCTAAGAAAACCCCCAAATAGTGTCCTTTTCGTCTCAAGTCTTCGCACCAGTTTCGAGCAGGAGGTCAACCCCCCTGATTTTCCCTCAGCTGATGCGAAAAACACAACGCCGACCCGTTTCGCCGTGCGCGGCGAGCGACATTGAAAAGACGGGGGGACTAGTCGGCATTCTTCAATCACAGAAGAGCTCTGACACTGATCAATGCCTTACAACTTGTCAACAGTCGCCATCATTTTAGCAAGCACATACTGTTCCACCTTATCCTTCCCTTTTTACCACAATCGACAAGGTTTGTGCAAGTGATTCACTCGGCAATTGTCCCGCAGTTCTAATTTTAACGCGTCCGCTAGAGCAAAGTGCAGTGGGGTTGGACTCAATGAGGGCTCGAGCGATGTGTGATGGCGTGTGCCTTGCTTTCTCACCGTTTCAAGATGTTCACACCCTAGCATCGGCAGTACTGCCACCTTACGCAGCTTGCAGTTGATCAACTTGTGTGGCATTCACATGAACGTTGAAAGCATGAGCCAAGGTCAAGATATGCTTGCACGGGAGGATCCAGTTTCACTAAAAAGTCCAGCTTTGGATGCTCCTCAAATTCATGCCAAAAGCAGCATCCCCTGCAATCGAGATATCAAGTCTGTCTTTTTTTGTTGGTGCCCTTCTTGGGATTGCTTGTTGTAGGGAAACCAAAGGAAACCCACCACTTTCAGTGCCCCCCAAAACAAGCAACGAGCCCACATGATCATGTGCGCTCGCATCCAGTCCAGCTCGAAGAGGAGCTGCAGCGTCTTCTCCTTGCCCTCGCGCGCCGCCACGTGAGCCGCTCCGTACGCAGAGGCTCCGCAGAAAGCGTCCATGGCTCGCTCATTGGTGAAGCCTTGCCTGTGGCAGTAAATCTTGAGCACCGATTTTCCTCAAATTTGCCACCAATTTGGTAATTTATTTACCCCCAAATTTTGTGGGAAACAGTGGGCTTCGCACCCCCCGAGTCCGACAGTCCGACAATTGGCTCGACCACATGCGAGCCACAAAAACTTGCCACGTCAAACCGTGCGCGGCTGCGAGTCCGAAACGGGCAGCCGCTCGAACCTCCCAGCGCCGAACCAACCTCTAGGCTTCCCCCGCGTCGATGGCGTCCCTGGCCCTCTCCGCGAAGACGAAGAAGGCGCAGGCCAACTCGAAGCGCCGCTGCCGCACCTCTCAAAACCCACAAAAACGACCTCAGGCCAAGAGCGTGTTCGAAGCCCCGAAAAACCTTGCCTAGGCTTCCTTGCCATGAGAGGAATGGCCAGGACCGGCTTCGTTTGCTGGGACCACCCGGGCGGCCATAGTCTGGAAAAAAGCATAATTTGTTAGGGTAAATGCCAATAAAGTGGCAGGTTATAGAATATATCCTTCATGAAGTGTCAACGTTCTAAAGCTTAAAACGGATAGTCTGAAGATGATTCGTAATAGAAAAAGATCAATGATTCATGAATAATATATATTTTAAAAAAAAAATGCAAGGTAAAGACTCTGGGAGCTGATAATGTTGAAAAGAAAGAGTTCAACAAAGACATGGATGAATTAGGAGTATAGATCATACTTTAATTATTATCATCATACCCATAAGTTATTTCTGTTCGTAGCTGTTGTCCTCATTTGTATGTCTCTTGAATTACAATGACGATATCGTTCAACATCAAAGTTAATATGCGACAGAGATACAGTGAAAGGAACGGATGCTGAACCCAAATGCCGGAGTGATATGATGGAAGTTATTGACTTACAATGATGCTATGTATGTTCATTCCTTTCTTTCTCATATGTTTATGTGTTGTTCTGTGTGTTATGTTATGGTATGTTTGTTTGTAATCAGGCTCATGTTGTGTGTTGTTCATCATCAATAATCGGTTTGCTTTGCTTTCATGTTATCTCGATGTCTTGATAAGATTCTTCGGCCCTAGGAGTCTTCCAAGCCTTTCCATTCCTCCTGCGGTCCATCACATCTTCTCTTTGCCTCTCTATCATTGCAACTCTATTTTCCAGGATCTTACTAAACATGAAATGATGGACGCTTTGCCGTGTGTAGGCCCCGGCTCTTGTCCTTCCCAGACTTGAGTACCAGTACCCGTCATTTTGGTCACTCGTTGTGTGCACCAAAAGCCGATCAAAGCGAGTCCCTTGCGAGCCACTGGGGCCCCAACCAGCTCGAAGGCATTCTTCTCGGCCTGCGCGCCAGGCATCTGTGCAACTTCCCGCGTCCCTTTTTCGGAGGGGCTGAGGAAGCAAATCTCGAGGGGGGGATTCCTGTTCCATTCTTTTCAACCATCGTTCTTTTCAAAAACCAGCTGTTTCCCCAGGGTTGTGGGTGTCTTTGTTTAGAAAGAAGGATGCCTGAAAAGAATGGGGAAGGGTCGGCCTTGGCTCGCCACTCATCCGAGAGGTCGTTGGACAAGAAGTCGGCCACCCGCGTCTGCTTGCCTTGCCGGTATAGCCTCGGCCGAGGTCGGTGGAAAAAGGCGCCTGGTGCCAGCTAGGTCCTCCAATAGAGAGGATAGAATAAGGGTACCCGATTCTTTTCTGTAGTCTATTTTAGTAGGGGAACCCCTCCCAAAAAAAGGGGAGAGAAGGGCACTACTGGGAAACCTAGCCAGACAAGTTGCCGAGCCTTGCCTCGGCTCCGAGCTGCGGAGCTTTGTTCCATTTTCGCACTTGGCGGGCAGCGACCCCCTCTTGGAACTGTCATGCAGTGCCAGGCAGGCCTTTTTGCAAAACAGCCAGGTGAGATGAGGGATCACTGGATCACTGGCGTGCCTGATCTCCATGGACATTCCAAGGGAAAGGCCGAGCCATAAAACCAAGGTATCAGGGCTTGAATTGATCAAACTGATCCAGGCCGAGGCCCGGACGCCGATGCCCTGTTCCTCTCAAGTTTACGTGGCCATGCTGCCCACGTCGAATTTAGGACCTGCCCTTCAAACATCTCCAGGTGAGCAATGACCGCACAGAAATCAAGGATATCTTAGGAGTTGCAAACTCGGACGTCTTCATACCGGACACCATTGCTCCAAAGGATATGGGCAGGTATTTGTTCAAAACTGTGGTGCCTCAGCGCATGGCGTCCGCTTGGAACAGTTCTGAGCGAGCGATGTCCTGCGGAAGCCGAAAGACTGTTCCATGGCCTACGGTAGGCCGAGGGCCACGCATGCAGTTGCGCAGAGGCAATGCGAGGTGGGACTCCAAAATGACAGCCTCACCTTAGTGAGGCCTGTCCGTCAAGAATCAAAATGCTTTATCAGAGTCTTAGGTATGTCTTGGGTCCCTTCCTCTGAAAGCCACTAAATGCTCAAACACCGTGAATTGAAACCAACTGGTTCCCAAGCCAACGAATGCAAACGCATCCAGTGGAGAAATGTCGGTGCGCAACGGAAAGCGTTGCAAGAGGTGCGACCCCTACCGTAACGGAAAGCCGCGACTTGCACACATCGAATCTTAACGAATGACCTCACATGCCATTTCTCCGGCGGTTCCGCAGGCGGTGATCTGCAGTGCATCAAAAGGCAAAGCGTACGAAGCAAAACTGTCCGCACCAATTCGCCAGGCACATGTTGGTGGAATATTGATAACCCATTTGATTGCCTGGATCCGTGCCACTGTACGGAACCTTGAAACTTGCAGGTCTGCTGAATCTGATTTGCCCCTGTTCTCTGCCCTTTTGCAGGCTTGAAAAGGAGATCAAAAGGAAAACCACGACTCAGTTGAGTCGAAGCAATTCTTCACCCCTTGGCCTCATGGTCGATTGGCTTTGGGGTGAGACCATTGTGGGGGCTCCCGATGTTGGACGTCCATCAGCAGGCCTGCATCGTTCAAATCCAATTTGCACAACGCTCACAGTTCACTGAGACCTCTCGATGCAAGCCGAGTGCAACGAGAGAAGTTAGCTAGGTCCTCCAGAGAGAATTGAAGAAGGGGACCCTATTTTTTGCTTTTGTCTTCTGTAGTCTATTTTAGTGGGGGAACCCTCCCAACCAAAAAAGGGAGAGAAGGGCACTGCTGGGGGACCTAGTTGTTGCCTCAAAAAGCCCAAGGCTACCAAGTCCATGCCCAAAGTGTCCTTTTAGGGGAAATAGATGGGGTTCCCTGGTAAATGATGAAACCACCATGTAAACCAGGAATCGCCATCTATTTTTCGACCCAAAATAACCAAAAAGGACACCTATGCGCATAGCTATATCACCCATTTGACACAGAGGCATAGTCAGCTGGGACGTGGAGTGGCCATGGTTCAGAGACAAAACCGAATGACGAGGGCACCAGAAGATGCCCCGACGAACACGCAACCGACATATTTTGAAAAATGGATCAAAGTTGCGAGATGAAGGATACTGTGGATGGACGAAATCCATTTCGCACCACCTAAGAAACCCTGGAATGATGATTCCCCTGTACACAAAAACAAACAAATGGTTTTCCATGGTTTCAAAGCGGTTCACGCGTTCGTCCATCCACGGTAGGATTGGTTGGCCCTGCCAGTGTACCCTCCCACCCTTTTTACATGGAACCTGACGTATGGGACCCGGTCCCTTCAAAAGGAAAATTGTTTTCTTCCAGGACCCCCGAAACGTCAGGTTCCATGTGAAAATGGGTGGGACGGTGAGCTTGCCATAAAGGAGGCAGAAGTATCGCAGACCTCGCAACCAAAACGTGCGACTGAACCCACGGCCTTGAGGAGCGCTTGCAACTGTCTCCGTGGGTGGTGAACCTAAGCTGGGCTCTTTGACCTGGCCAGTGGGAAAGTGGCGATCCCCAAAAGTGGGTGGCTCGCCTCGTTGAAACCAAAAGGACAACCAACGTTCGGGGGGTCCATCCTAAGAAAAGACACACACACACACCCCAAACCCCCCCAAAACGCCCGCCCAAGACCCCCCCCTCCCCAACCCCCCCCCCCAAAAAAAAAAAACTCAAAAACCCCCCAACACCCCCCAAACCCCCCCCCCCCCCCGCGGCCCCTCAAACCCCCCCCAACCGCACCCCCCCCCCCAAATATATATATATATATATATATATGTATATAATAAAGGCCCCACCAAAACAGCCAGCTGCACCTGAGCCCCGGGCTGGATGAAGGTCCGCTCCACCGGCAAGTCTTAGACCCCCCAAGTGACTCAAAGCCGAACCACCCGCGACGGCTCATGGGGGGGGCCAACCTTTGAACCCGTCTGGGTGTATGTTTTATCCTTAGTTATATGGGTACCCATATATATATATATACATATATATATATATATGTTTATATGTGTATGTGTATATATATATATATATAGATTTATGTTTTTTTCGGGCGTGGCCCCTTTGGCGGACATTGTTGACATGGATTTATGTCCACCAACCACGTTTGAGGGGTTTCAAATTTAAGTTCAGAGCACGGCGATTGCTGCATGCAAGGTGCTGTCACCTCCTGGATATGAAGCAGGCTCGTTTCCTGCACGGGACTCGGTTCGACAAAAATGAAGAAGAAGAGGAGGCGGTTGCTGACTGATGGTCACTCACACTCAGTCGCGATGCCTAGGCGAAGTAGAATCGTAATATGACATTGAGAGCAGTACTAGTCTCTGCTAGCAAACTTCACAACCGTCCCTGCACAAAACATTGACACCAGCTGCGTGTGTTTTCGCTTGCAGCATGCAGTTCGTGGCTTTCTCGAGCATTGCAAACTGTTGCACAGGCTCAGCTTCAAGGCTTTCTCAATGCACGCAGCTGGCAGCTGGCAGCTGGCAGCTGGCAGCTGACCCCGCCTTCAGATCGCGCACCTGGGCAGTTTCTTCATCGAACTTCGGGTGCTGCGGTTCAGTTCACACGAACACCCGCATGTGTTCCAACGTGACTGAAGTTGAAACAAAATCAATGATGCACTACCTTCTTTCGCGGCTGTTGGTCTGAGCAAAGGACGCTGAAAGGGAATGTCGCCGCCAAAGAATCCACTGTCCGGGACCTGGCCAAGGCCCCTCACAGACCGAAAGGATTTGGGGTGACCCGCACTTTGGCGGCGTTTTGGTGCTTTGCGTCTTGCTGCTTTTCTCTGTTCCGTAGAGACAAAAACTAGCCAGGGAAAAAAATACTCCTGAAATGAAGGCATCTCCAGCGGGTTCACAGTCAAAAAGTCGGCCCTCACCCATGCAGCCATGCCTGAGCTGTGTAGAAGCCATTCTGCCCAAAGCCGCAGCCCTCCGGCGCTTTGGCTCACGGAGCGTCCATTGAAACCAGGGGGGTTCAATGGGTGTGTCTCAAGCTGGCAGAACTGTCTTTCTTTCCTTTTTTTTGGGGGGGGGAGGGATCAGGGGGGTTCCCTTTGGTCTGCCCTGCAACCCACCCAAAAAAGGGTGAAGCCTAAAAGAAAGAAGTCCAAGTCTCGCCTGATTGGGCAGGCCATATGGCATGGCAGCCATTTCGGGCACTCGCGCTCGCTCTTGAACCTGCTTGACGTCCTCGCGCGGTGAACATCCAAACGTCGAGCGCCCTGTTTGCGCGCGTGTGTGTGTGTTGTGTGTTGTGTGTTGTGTGTTGTGTGTTGTGTGTTGTGTGTTGTGTGTTGTGTGTTGTGTGTTGTTGTGTGTGTTGTGTGTGTTGTGTGTGTTGTGTGTGTTGTGTGTGTTGTGTGTGTTGTGTGTGTTGTGTGTGTTGTGTGTGTTGTGTGTGTTGTGTTTGTTGTGTGTGTTGTGTGTGTTGTGTGTGTTGTGTGTGTTGTGTGTGTTGTGTGTGTGTTGTGTGTGTTGTGTGTGTTGTGTGTGTTGTGTGTGTTGTGTGTGTTGTGTGTGTTGTGTGTGTTGTGTGTGTTGTGTGTGTTGTGTGTGTTGTGTGTGTGGTGTGTGTTGTGTGTGTGGGGTGTGTGTGTGTGTGTGTGTGTGTGTGTGTGTGTGTGTGTGTGTGTGTGTGTGTGTGTGTGTGTGTGTGTGTGTGTGTGTGTGTGTGTGTGTGCGCCGTTCTTTGTGTGTGTGTGTGTGTGTGTGTGTGTGTGTGTGTGTGTGTGTGTGTGTGTGTGTGTGTGTGTGTGTGTGTGTGTGTGTGTGTGTGTGTGTGTGTGTGTGTGTGTGTGTGTGTGTGTGTGTGTGTGTGTGTGTGTGTGTGTGTGTGCGCCGTTCTTTGAGAGTACCCTTTTCGGGGTGTTCCGAAGGAACACCAAACCACGACACCACCCCTTTTGTGGGTCCTTTCCCCTTTCGCCTATTTTGAGACATGCTGCAAAGAGAGCTCCTGCACGGCACAAACCACTGGAACGTTCCAGCCCTGTGGCATTGTCATGGGCATCTGCGGCATCTGCGGCATCTGCGGCATCTGCGGCATCTGAGTCCTCCAGCAGATGCGTTTTTTGGTCATCCAAATGGCGCATCCAGATCCTGCCTCGCGCCATCCATGGAAGGCACCTGGGCAAACCAAAGCAGACTTCCATTGCTCCGTGAGTCAGGGCCGGAGCAATTCATTCTGCTCTGCAGATTCA